TGTGTGATATTGTTTTGCCGAATGGTATTATATGATATTGGTATGCTGAATCGTATGCTGAATGATTTGCTAAATAGTGTTTTTGAATGGTTTGATGAAGGGTGTTTCTGAACATATTGCAAATTGGTTTGCTTAATGGTGTTTCTGTACATAGTATGGTATTGGTTGTATTTAATTACGTATTAAATTTATATGGTCATTTTGGTGTATTTCGTATAATTATGATCAAAATCGCAGGTATTATGGACTCTGAACAACATAATTCTCCTTCTATTAAACATGCACAAGACATACCTATAGGCCAAAAAAGAAAAGAAAGGGGACGAAATAAACAAATTAAAGTGAGTGACACAAAAAATTCTCCTTGACTTCAATCAAAGTGGGCAACTTGTGTCTATAAAAAATGCCAAGTTGGCTACTCATATTGGTGCCATCGTCTGATGTAGGATTTCAATTACGTACACCAATTGGCAATGAGTTCCTAATAATTTAAAAGATGGTATATGGCAGTCATTTATGGTATGTTTATTCAACTATTTCATAAAATTTGTTAAATAATCATTTAATTGAAATTCAATGTGTTCATACTAATTGTGTTAAATTATTTAGAAATGGTTCGACATCCTAATTGACTGTAAAAAGATTGTGTTACAATCTATTGGGACGCATTCAAAGACTTTAAAAGCATATTGCAACCCAATATATTTTTCCAATGGTTGATCAAAGTGATGTATTGACTGTTCCACCTATGTTATATGTAGATGTAATAAGTGTTGAAGATTGGACAAATTTTGTTCGAGATCAACTATCAGAAGATTTCTCAGTATATAAACCCATTACCAAAAAAATTATTTATAAGATTTTATGCAATATAGTCGATATCTTCATATGTGATTGACATAATATTTTTCTTTTATAAAAAATCAAAGAAAAGCAATGGAATATTCAGGCCAAACAACTATATCACCATCAGACAACGAAAAAGGGATATACAAATGTGAAGTATTAGCTTGTAAGTATTCACACACTTGTTTTATACTCATTAATGAATATTTATGAACATTCATTTCATACATTCTAATTCTTATATTATGGTAATTTAATAGGGATCAGCAAGCTCTGGCATCGAAGTTTCCAAATGAGATGTTTGGAAATAAAGACATCTAAGGACGGATGGATCTTTTGTAGATAAAGTAACATAAGAAATGGCTAAAAAGATTGTATGTATAACTGCTTGTTTAATATCATATATGATTGGCATTATGGTTGTATGCATGACTCTATACTAGCTTGTATAGATTTGTTATTACTGCCTATCTTATTATTGCCTTTCATGGTGATTATGCTGCCAAAGTTAAATTCGATGAACTAGTAACCCAGTATAGTGAAGATCTATTGTCTTTAGCATTAAGCATTAAAGAAAAGCCTAGTAGAGTTCATGGGGTTGGTAAATTTGTGTTGCCATTAAAGTTTTGGCATAATTAACCCAAAACCTCGCAAATGAGAAATGCATAATATGAAGCAATCATTAAGCAACAACAGTAACGAATTGATGACCATGAGCAACACCTCAATAAGCAATAGCAAAGACTCACTGCTTGGAGGTCATGTTGGCAGTAATGCAGCATAGCATGCCTGTAGGCTAATCGAATAACATCATACACATAGGATAAGCTTTCATTGCAAGTCAAGCAGTAAATCCAACCTCCATTACCAGCCATGAAGTATGATTTTGTTTATAAGTTTAATATTAATTTGTTTATTATATTTATTAATTTGGTTTTAATACTTATATTTCATTAAATATTGTAGTAGATGTTGGGACTCAGAGTATGACCCTTGCTCAGGCTACCATGGATGAGTTATCTAAGTATTCACTCAAGCATTTATCTGGAGGAAACTTCATAACCATTGAGTTTGAGAAATGGTTATTTGATAAACCATCATTTTCTTTCATTAATGTGGATGAGGTGAAAGAATTTTGTGAACTGGATGAAATTTCAGCTGTTGATATTGTTGCTTTTATAAGGTTAGATTATAAATACAAATATGCACAATCAATGTGTATTAATCTATATTACGATGTAATACTAACTAATTTTATTGATTGTTAACGTGCAGCTTCCTATATAAAGAGCTCAAGGCTAGCCAGTTGACCAACGGATTTAGATTTGTTGATCCCAACTTCATTAGTGAGCATAGTGGCACAGTCACTTATCATGCTAATCATGTGATTGAATGCATGAAAAGATCGACTGATTTTTATTTGCTCCCATATAATGTGTAGTAAGTTATATTCATACAAATAATTATTCCAACCTTACCCAAATCTGATATGATACCTAATCTTAGTATATCATTGTTATTATTTTGTAGTCGTCATTAGGTGCTTATTGTGATTGATACCAAATCTTTAACGCCATACTTACTTAATTCAGTTAATCCAACAGCGATGCCTAACCCCAAAATTCAAGCTTTTATAAAAAAGTATTACACTTTCTGATTATATTATATATCTCTATTTCTTCATAAGTAATTTTATTTATGTATTAAGTAATTTTTTTCTTTTCAATTTAGGGTAATATCTACATTCGATAAAAAGGCAAAGAAAAAATGGGTGTCATTACCGGTAAATGTGAAATTTCTTCTTTTATGCTGAATTGTGTAGATAAATGTTTCGTAAACCCACTTAATTTAATTTTCAAATATCTCGTCAACCCAAAAATGTTGAATGTGGATATTATGTCCTTCATTTTATGCGGGAGATAATTTTATATGATTTTATGACTACACCATTCAAGGTTAGTATAAATTTCATAAACTCATTATATCTTCAAAAAAATAAAAAGCTAAATTATGTTCTTATTTATTAACATTTACTTCTAATTTTTTTTAGTGGGAGAGTAAGAAAGCTTCACGATAGAGGAACTGGAAGAAGTCCATAAAGAATGGTGTGAGTATGTATTAACATTTATTGATAAACCTTGAGGTTAGACATTATTGGTTGAATGTAAATATATAAGGAACAAATTGTTATATTATTTTTAACATGGCATGTTGAATGGATAATTTAAGTTTGTAGATTGAGGTATTGGTTTAATATTATTGGTATATATTTGTTTTCTATGAATACACTATGTGTACTCAGTATATTATTGAGTACGATTATTTGATAAAAGTATATTAATATGACAATGTTATCAATTTTAAATTTAGATGTGTGGTCAATTTATTAAAATACAACAATGTTCATAATGTAAATTCCAAAATGTAATTCATAGTATCACATATATAAACCAAATGTTTTCTGGGCATAAACCTACAACTGACTTCACATATACAATAAAAAAAGTTTTTTTGATGGGATTACTGAAGGCGTTTCTAGCAAGAAATTACCTTGAATAATCCTTAACAAAATGTTATTGAAAGCATTTTAACCAAAATCACCTTCAATAATCTCAACTAAAATTTATTGATTGGATTATTAAAGACGCTTTCGGCCAAAAATGCCTTCAAGAATCCATTCCATATTTTCCTATAGATTATTAAGAGCATTTTTAGCAAGAAAATACCTTGAATAATCCCTAACAAAATATTATTGAAAGCGTTTTTGACCAAAACAACCTCTAATAATCCCACTTAAAAATTTATTTTGTGGAATATTAGAGCTATTTTGGGCCAAAAACGCCTTCAACAATCTGTTGGAACTTTTTTTTATGGATTATTGAAAGCATTTTTGACAAAAACTGCCTATTAAAAATTTATTGATTGGATTATTGAAGGTACTTTCAGCCAAAAATGCCTTTAAGAATCCGTTTCATATTTTTCTATGGATTATTAAGGACGTTTTTAGCAAGAAAATGCCTTGAATAATCCTTAACAAAATATTATTAAAGGCATTTTTTACCAAACCGCCTTCAATAATTCGTTCGAACTTTTTTGCGTGGATTATTGAAGGTGGTAATCCCAATTAAAAATTTATTGATTGGTTTATTGAAGGCGTTTTTGGCCAAAAACGCCTTTAAGAATCCGTTCCATATTTTGCCTATGGATTATTAAGGGCATTTTTTTTTGCCAAAAACACCTTGAATTTTCTCTCCAAAATTTTTTAAATCGATTGGTAAAGGCATTTTTGTCAAGAAAATGCATAGAATAATCCATTACAAATAATCCCTACAAAAACCCAAAAAAGACTAAAAGGAGGGATCAAACCTACCACCTTATAGTTAATATTCGTATGATCCTAAAATTTTTATAGGGTATTTATTAAAGGCATTTTTGACAAAAACACCTTTAATAATCCTGTAAAAATTTTTCCTAGAATTAGTAAAGGCATTTCTTGTCAAAAAATACCTTAAATAATAGCATACATTTTTTATGAGGAGATTATTCAAGACGTTGTCTACCAAAAATGCCTTCAGTAATTCCTTATCAATTTTTTTAACTGGATTATTAAAGTCGTTTTCTGTCAGAAAAAGCCTTTAATATTCACTCAAAATTTTAAGACATGATTATTCAAGGTAGTTTAGTCGATAAACGCCGCTAATATCAAGTCTTGGGTGGCGTTTATAAATAATAGCGTTGCTATTTGAATATTTAATGACGTTTTGATAATAAACACCTTAAGTTTTACAAAAACACTAAAGCTAACTGCGTTTGTAAGTGAAACGCCACTACAAAACTGTCACTAATCTTCCATTTTCTTGTAGTGATGATATAAAAAGTAATAATAAATAATAAATAACAAAAAAAAGCTTGCCCAAAAATTAAATAAATAAATAAACAAAAATAAAATTTGAAGGCCCAAAACCAAAAAAAAGGAGGAGAACAAAATGAATTAAGCCCAAACAAAATGGAGTTCAAGATAAAAAGGCCTATCAAACATGCCCGCAAATGGAAGGGCGTATGTGGCCTTATGAGAAACCCATGCATGCTTAAAGTTGAACACGTGAGGAAGCCAGAAAATCGCATGAAGGCTGCATGGGATCGTGGCTGGTAACATGGGGCTTCAAAACGGCAAAGGAAAACTGGTAAGGGAGGGCATGAAAGAAAGGGTAAACATGAAAGAAAAAAGCAAGCACGAAAAAGAGAAGGAGCCCAGAAAAAAACTGGAAGCTTTTGCGCATAGAAGGAGGAAGCGAAAAGCTGGTTAAGAAGAGGGAGGCGTGTCGGCGTGAAGGAGCAAAAAGGGAAGAGAAAAAACACTAAACAAAGAAAGGAATGGAGGTGAACCACCAAGACGTGAGGAACGAAAACTGGAGAGCAAAGAGGGAGCATAAAGGAGGAAGGTGGCGGCCAGAAAAACCAGTGGGAAGAGGCGATAGGTGGAGAAGCAAGAACAGAAACCAAAAAGAAGAGAAGAAAGTCTCTCCAAACCGTGAGGAAAACCAAAAAGAAAAAGGAGGAAGGAGTGAGGCGGAGGGACGTTGGAGGCATTTTCTGGGGACGGGCCGCTAGGAAGAGAGAAAAAGAACCAGTGGCAGCAAAAGGCGAAACTAGAAACGAAAAAAGAAAACCAAAAAACTGGCAAGGAAACCGGCAGAAAGGGAAGGCAGCAGCGAAAAAAAGAAAAGAAAAGGAGTAGGAACAGAAACGAGGGGAGGCCAGACCAGAAAAGGAGAACGGACAGCAACGAAACAAAAAAAAAAAAGCATTCAAGGGCGTTAAAGAAAACAGAAAACAAAAGGCAAAAAAGAAAAGTATGCAGACGTGAAACAGCAGAAAATAAAAGACAAGCAGAAACAAAAACCAGAAAGCAGAACAGAAAAAAACTGGCAGCAAGGCAGCACCGATAGCAAGCTGTAGCAGGAGGAAAAGACAGAAGAACAGAGGAGCAAAAAAAATCAAAAACAGGCATGGGCAGCAGAAAAGAAGAAACCAACAAGAACTTAAGCAGAAAAGAGACCAAAAAAAAAAAAGAGAACTAACAGTAGTGAAAAACCAAAAAAACAAAAGCCGGAAGGAGGGCACGTGAAGTACTGGGCAAAAAAAACAAGAGACAGGGAAACAGTGAAAAAGGCAGAGAAGAAGGAATTTTGCGAAGGAGAAAGACAAAAGCCAGCACTTTGGGAAAGGTTAGAAAAAGATGGTTCTTTTGGTATGTTCTCAGTTGTTTCTACATGTAAATACTATCATATTGTCAAGAAAAACTTAAGGTACAAAACAACTCTTGTTTGTTCTATATGATGTTTGAAACTTATGCTTTATCTTATACGGTTTGTGCATGTCATTTGGCCTTTTCTTGATCCTGTCCTGGCTTGTTCATGGGAGCTTAAAAGGTTCATTGCTTTTTCTTAATGGTTGCTCTAATCGCGTGCGAATTGTGGCGGAGGCTTGGAGCTTCACTTTTTATTTTATTTTATTTTATTTTGCTGGTCCTTATGGCGTGAGATTTGGTCTTGGAGCTTCACTTTTAATTTTACTTTATTTTATTTTTCTAGTCCTTATGACATGAGATTTGATTGCAGAGGCCCAAAGTTACAACCTTTCCATGGTTTCTGATTTCTCCCGTCTGCATATAGTCTTTATACGAGAGCATAAAGCTTTAACATCTTTGTGCGTGCTGTTTGCTCTGTTTAAACTCAAAGCTTTAGGTTTTTCATGCTTGCTTCTTTGCTACATGACACCTGCACAACATATTTAACTTTTTACTTTGTGTGTCTATATAAACTAACATCTTATGCCTTTATAATAAGCTAACTTTAAAAACATAATTTTTCTCTAATAGCAAACGGATAACTATAACCATTTCTGGTAACCAAATTGTTTGGTGATTGATTTCACTCTATGCATGTAGTTTTTCAAATTGGTCTGCATATTCAAATATGTTAAAAAATTATAATAATATCATTACAAGATGGATATTCAGAGGAATTTTGCATTATCAAATATGTAAATCTGAGAAGTATTTTATGTTACCGAATATGCATATATGATAATGTAATATGCTTTTCGAATATGTATTTTTAGTAAGCTTATATGTTATCGGTTATGCATATCTGAAAATAATATAGCATTGCAGATATGCATATCTGATAACTCAAATAGCTTATTGAAAATGGAAAGAATACTATATTCTTTGATATACATATCTAATAATGCAATATTAGTTCTAGAGATCCATTTTCATAATATTTAAATTTGCAATTTGAAATGTGATTTAAGTAACTTAACTCGTTATTATTAGTTGCTCTTCATCCCCACCGGTTTTGTTTCCCATATGCCTATTTATTTTTACAAGATAAAATTGTTTGAAAGATTTATGGTTTGAGATAGAAAGTTAAGGTTTGTGATATACAAAAGAAAAATAAGAAAGAAATGGAGGAAGAGGAAGAAAAAAAGTAGAAAAAAAGGTGTATGAGGGTTAAAAACATAATTTATTGATAGATAATTAGGTAATTTCACTTAAGGGCAATTTTGTAATAAAAATTTAGGGTGTATAGAGTATTATTTAAGGTGTATTTAGAACCACCCTTAAAACAAAGAATGGAGATGTTCAATGTGTTTCCTTAAAACAAAGAATGGAGACGTTCAATATGTTTCTTTCTTTTTATGCCATTTCTCGTCTAACCCTTTTTTTTCTCTTTTCTTTAGTTTTTACTTTTTGGTAATAAAGAATAAGGTGGAGTATAGATGTAACGAAGTCAAGTCAAGCTTTAGTCAAGCAAAACATTGCAAAGCTTGACTTTGAATTCGTGGCTAGAAGTTTAGCTAAAATTTGATGGAACTTTTTTTTTCATTTCGTGTTCAACTTAAAATAGAAACTGAGTTTACTCCATTAAACTTGTAATTTAGTAAATTTAGAAGTTTAATTATCATATTTAATTTTATATTCAATTATTTTATACTCGAGTTTGATTTTAAATTTAAATTAAAAAAAAAATTTAAGTTTATATATATATATATTAAAAGAAAAGTTGTAAGTAATTATAAATAATTTATATATTATTAATATATTATAAAATATTAAAAATAAAAAATTTAATTGATTTGTAAATTATTTGAATTCGATTATTATATAATGAGGATAAAATTGTAAATAATTATAAATAATTTTTATATATTAATAAATATAATATAGAAGCTACAGGAAATAAAAAAATTAACTTACAAAATCATTTAAATTAAACATTAAAATATTCGACCTTGTCTCTGACTTAATCCACTTTTGAGTTCGATTTTGGCATAAGCTAATTTATATCCGTAAGGCAGAGAACGGGGCTTGGCCGTGGCATCGGTTTTGGTGTTAAGCCCAAAACGGAGAGGTGGCAGTATTGGCCTGACAAAGCCTATAAAGCCGACCGAGTCATATTAGTCTTGAATTCTTATTTTAAGGGTTTATATGAAAAATATAAATAGCAACATACGTATATATAAACTTCATCCCAGCAAAACAAACAACTCAGGAAAATATTACTCTTTTGTTAAAATACTAGAAAAAAATTCAGAAAAAAAAAAAAAAGAGAAGAGAATGGGGAAGAAGATGCTGAGTTTGGAAGAACAGTGTAAGATAGTGAACTTGTTGAAATCGTCATCTGAACAAAAATCAATCGAAGAAACAGTCACTGAATTCTTTAGCGATTCCAACCTCCGCCATTTCAATGTCTGCTATTCTCTCTCTTTTTTATTGCAGGTCATTTCGCTTCTCCTCCCTGTTTTTTTGTTTTCTTTTTTCTTTTAATTTCCCTGTCTGTCACTTTCTCTCTCGGGTTTTAGGGTTTTCGGGATTTGAATTTCACTTCTGTCTCACATGCTTTACAACTTTAAGGATTCCTTTCTAGCTGTGAAGAAACTGTTACTTTTTTTATTTTTCCATTTAAATCGAAAAAACTAGCGAACTACTGTGTAAGTTTTGTTTACTTGTGCTGGATTTTGGTGGGAATTCAGTAACATAGTGTTAGATTATTGTACTAGAAAATCTTATTGTCGTACTAGAGAATCTGAACTTGAAAATTGGGTTAATGAAACAGGAATAGTATAGATATCAGACAGAATGCTCATTGCCCCTGAAAAATCTTCATAACTAGTTTAGATCTGTGGTTCAATGTAGTTGAGTTTGTTTTGTTTATTTGGGAAATGAATTTTAGTCTCTGGCTAGCGAGTTCAATTATTTTGATCATTCAATCATTTTCTTTTTCCTTCCTAAGATTATAGGCTTCAGCATTCTTCTAATTTGTTGGTAAGCCTTGCTTTATAGTAGTGATTTGAAAGAGACAGATAATTATTTAGGAGGGATAATAAACTGAAAGGAAGAAAATGGTTTCTCTTTTTTCAACCATGCTTGGTAGTAAATATGGATATGTGGTGAGTGGTGACGGAAAGAAAAGTTCTGTTTTAATCCATGATTTGGTAACATTGAAAAGTGGTTTTACACTTTAAAAGAAGTGGACTATACTGCAAATCTGCAACACTTAACTAACATAATGTTTATTTTTATTGGAGTCTTCCAATTTGGGAAGATTATTTTTGTTAATATGGATAAAAAAGGCAATCATTCCAACCAAATTTGAGTAAACCTATTTTCGTTCCTCTTTTCCAATTTCCACCAGCTTTCCTTCATTCTTGCACTTTTCTCTCATACCAATCAAATCCTAAATAAATTGAGTACTAAGAATATATTTGGCGTGTTTGGTTTGATAGGAACTATGATAGGAGTAAAGAGATTAGAGAAGTAAGTTAAATTGGAATTGAGTCAAAGTGATGAGGAGAAATATTACTGAATTCTATGTGAGTGTATTATTTCTCAATTTTTTATTCATTAATGTGAGAAATAAACACCTCAAATGACAAGGGACTTCATTGTAGTTAGGTTATTTTCTCCACATCTCTTCTTTTGAAGATACTTAATTGGGTTTGCCACAAATTGTTTCTTTCCTTTGCACTCCTCTCTTGTACTTTGATTGTTTAAGGTTCAAGCAAAACAATGGACTTAATGTCTGTTTACTGTTGTAATGTATGATATATGATATAACTGTAGTCAATTAACTGTTATACAGTTTTTGGCATCTTGAATGGTGATTTGGATTTGATTGTAGGTTACCAAGAACATTGGGAATTGCTTTATTCTTGTGCTATAGAATTTGAGTTTTATTTTACCAATAGAATATGTTCAGTAAGCATAAATCTTGTCAGGTATTATAGGTTTACCTAAGGCAAAGTTCCTAGCAATTAGAAACACCTTGGAACCCTCTAGGCAAGGTGCAGGCTTTTGGTACCTAGTGTCACCTTTTTGAAAGGGCAAAGGCAGATAGCAGTGCTTCAGTCAATTGTCCTTCTATTTTATTGGACCTTTTATTGTTTTCTGTAAGCTATGGTTTCAACTGAAAATAATAAAAATAGAAGTCCCCTTTTTAAGGATGAAGGATGGGGTAGTATTATCCATGTGTAACTTCCTATTGGAGGTACTAGCTCCCTTTTTAGCATTCAATTCTTCACAATTCAAAGCTGCCTATTTTATTACATTAGTAACTTCTAATCATTTTTTTTATAATAGTTTTCACAAAGTAAGGATGCCGTAGTAACATGTTTGGATTTATTGGTGGCTAACTGGAGCTTGAATAATCCCAGGACAAAATGATGCTCAGTTCTACTGAACGATTGGTTGCATTCGCTATTCTTCATCGATGCTATTCCTCTCAAAAATCGGCTGCAAACCCATTTATTTCTTTTCTTCTAAACGTAAGCCGGTTTTTTTTCCTTGTTATGTTTCATGTTAGCAAGTTCGGGAAATGTTTTTCTCTTTATATGTTTTCACATTCAGAGGTTGGTTGTGCCTATCCTTGTATGTTGCTTGTTTAGGTTAACAAAAGCCATATATTTCTCTGGGTGTATGCGGGCAAACATGCTAGACTATAAGGGCAGGGCTTGTCATTGCAAAATTTTCTATCTGATTTTGCTTTCTTTTGAAGAATTGAAATTTTTTGTGCCTTCAAATGCAACTATTCTATCATATTTAGTGCATCTTTGATAGTCAAAGAGGTTTACTTCTTTGAGCACGTGGAACAATAGACAAATTTTCTTAAAAAAAACCCTGAACTTGCATCACTTGTATTATTCTAATATTTTAAGGCACCATATTCTCTTATTGTGTTGCTTCCAACCTCATGAGAACAAAAAGAAAGAAGAATGTAAAGAACTAGTAGTTTCCTCTTGCCGTTGGTAATGATATTTTATTTTGTCTTTTCTCCGTCTGATCTCCCCTTATTTTTCACCTATGTAATGCCCATTTCTTGTTTTTATATTTTTAAGAGAATCTTATTTTATTATTTTTTATACCTTAATTTTGTGTCTTTTATGTCTTCTGGATATTACAGGCTGCATGTGATGATGGGGCTGAAAATTATGAGAGGGCATTTATTCTCCATTTGCTTGGTTCTGGCAACTCCAATGACAGTAAAGAGGTTTGACTCTCTCTCTCTCTCTCTCTCACATTTGCAAGAAGTTGGTTGGTTTTCAAATTTAGTTGCACTGGCTTGGACTCGTGTTCTTGTGTCAAAAGTGCTGATACCAACCAAGGATGGGTGATTTGAATTTTTTTAGGAATCTACTAACAAAAACCTATATTTTTTAAACTGTTAAGTGCATAAAAGGTAAGAATGGAATTAAGCAAAGGGAAAATCACTTTGGACTTCCTTGTCCTAGCAATTTACTTTTCTTCGTTTTGATAGTTTGGTCATGGTTATGACAAACATGTCAGAATTTTGGATTTAAAAAATGCTTGCATTTTGTTGCAATGCATTATCGTGTACATTCCTTTGGATGGATATTTGTTTATTTTGTTAGGAGTTTATTGTGTGACAGTTGGTCCCTGTGCTTTGTTGTTGGGTTGGATAAATGCTTTTTGATGTCTATAGCTGATTATAGTTACAAAGTAATTCCCAAACTTGAGAGAGATTACAATGCTGTTGAATTTTGTCTTGCAGTTTCTTAAACAGTCTGCTTCAGATTACATCAAGAATTTTGATCCTTCATCCCAAGTAAGTTTGTCATGTAATTATAACTTTTTTGGATGAAAAAAAATCATTGTTGAGCTCTTGTTTAGGTTAAGTTTTGATTCTACTAAGTTGATGCAGACTTTCTCTATGTTATAGTGTTTTTGATGAAATAACCCATGTTGAGCTTTTCTTTATTTTCTTGTTGACTACGGGTTGGGGGAGGGTAACTTGAATTGCATTTGTTGAAAAACAATTTCTGTCCTGCCCCTCCCCCTTCCCTTTCCCCTTTTCTATTAATAACCCTTTCTCTTTAAGATTTTTAGTGTTTCCATTCATCTGGTAGATCATTTTTTTTTTATCTGTTTTACATTAGACTTTCCCACAAGGAGAGCAGTTACAGCAACAATATTTTGAGAAAGTTGATCCGGAACCATACACTTGCTTATTAAAGAACACTGTAGTGAAAAATGTGTTGGCAGATCCCGATGTTCCCCGTGGTTGTGATGCAAATTCAGCAGAGCACGTGTCTTGGTATTTTTAATGCTTTATTTTTTTTTTTTTTAAATTGTATTCCATATATAATGATCCATTTAATATAGTGTCATGCATTATTTTTTCTCATTAGGTTGGATTTACAGCCTGTAGCCAAATCTAAACTTGGATCTGGGGATAGAGATGAAGCCCTAACTGGATTGATGGAGAATTTGTCATTGGAGGGGTTAATTCCTCATTGGATTAGGCCTGTTCCACCTAGGTTCCCAGTGGATAACGAGGTAAAAAACTTAAACTTTTTTTCAGGGGCTGTTATTTAATTGGTTAGTGGAGTTCACCTGTTTTACCTGTCAAGAAATTTTCAGTTAGTGTGGCTCAACCCTGACAACAATCATGAGCTTCAATGGGATCAAGGGATGTGTGCTGATACTAGCAGAGGAGCAGCAGTGAGAGACTTAATCGCAAAAGCTTTGAAGGGAGCACTTGAACCTAACCAACAGGAGGTTTCATACCCTTTAATATAATATTTGCTCATCTAATAATCATATCTTGTTCATGTATTTATGTAAAAGCTACATGACATCATTGTTTTGGTCTTGGATTTGATGCACCTGCTTTTATTTGCATTGAGTGATTAGTTCATCGGGACTGCTTCTAATAAATATCAATTAATTTAAACAATCATGATACCTATGGTATCATAATATGTTGAGCTACTATTCAAAGGCTTTCATTGCTGAAGCTTAACAACCTTAATATCTGAGACTTCTCATATGGCATGGAGGCAATTAAATGGTGGGGACTGACGGTGTAATCAAGTCTTTTATAAGAACAAAAGCCCTGATTAGGATCCAACTATCTGTAAGATGTTCATTGTAGAATCTAACCTTTGATTCAGACCAATTAAAGACTTCATCTTACAAACTTGGTCCCATTAAGGCAGTTTTGTGGCAGAATAGATTACATCTTTGGCTGGCTAATTGGGGCACATGAAACTATGTGATTGGTGGCACTGGAGACAAAAGGAAAGTTGAAAGAAGTGAGAAAGAGTATGACTGAGCATTAATTGCAAAACATTTTTGATTAATTTTCAAATTCAAGTAATTAATCATAGTTAATTGTGAATGATTTGGATTTTGTACTGTAATAATTAATTAACATTTTTTACCACAATTGCAAAACCTCTAAATTCTTCACTACCCTTATGACTCTTTGGAAGGCTGAGCCAATAAAAACTGAGTCAGCTTGGTTTTCAAAAACCAGAATAATATGCATTAACCGAAAATTTTTAGGTAGAGATTAGATCGTAATCTGGGTTTTGGCCCTTATTTTGAAACAATTTAAAGCACCACATCCAAAGAACCATCTGATTATGGAAATTGAGTTTGACCACCCTAGTTTGAGTTTGATATTTGGATCTGCCTCTTTAAGATGTTTGTCTTAAGTAACTGTTAATAACTCAGTACATAAATCCATCAAGTATATCTCCCATGTTTGTGTCTCAATTTCCATGTGTTATCATGAAGAAATTCTTACATGTCTTGTGCTAGAAAGAATTCATTTGTTGACAAATTACTTAAATACACAGTTAAGCCTATCTCATGTAAATCTGTTAGACTCCATATGGAGCTGTTGAAGATGGTGATCGATTCTGATTTACATTCATTGGAAGAGGTACACATGTTGTGATACAAAGAAACTGTTCTAGCAATAGCTGGTTTTATATTAGTGTTAATGATTTGGTTTTGTTTGGGTTTTATAGTTAGTGTATTGTTTCACTTTGGATAATAAACTTGGTCTTTTGTAAATTAATTTTAAAATGTAAACAAATACAATTGAGTTTGTCTTTGGATGTAGATCCCATTAAAAGTACATGTCAAAATATGCTTACTTGGTAAAGTGGTAGCTTGTTTAACATGGTTCATCTTATTTATGGAAAAAGCACAAGATGCTTATTAAATGCTTGTATAAATACATTTTACTAATGGCTGAACCTTTAGTTGCATTTATTATTTGGCAACAAACTGAAATTTTCTTTCTGTTCAGCAAGTCCTGGGGGAGCTGGTTAAAGACCCCAAGCTTGTCTACCACTGTGGATTGACTCCAAGGAAGCTACCCGTATGTTATTTGAGAATTTTACAGTTTGGTTTTTAACTTTATAGTGATATTGTCTTAACATTCAACACACTTGATTTCAGGAATTGGTGGAAAACAATCCACTTATTGCTGTTGATGTTCTGACCAAGTTAATAAATTCTCCCGAAATTGCTGAGTATGTATTTGGTGGACCAGTGAAGTTTCTGTTTAATATATTCCAATCAACATTCTCTAGTATGTATTTGAAGTTTCTCTTTCTGCAAATATGTATCTAGGTATTTTACGGTTCTTGTTAACATGGACATGAGTCTACACTCCATGGAAGTTGTGAACAGGCTCACAACTGCGGTTGAACTTCCAAAGGAATTTGTACGTATGTACATAACTAATTGTATATCATCCTGCGAGAACATCAAGGTACTTCCCATATATATATATGTTGTGTCTCGTGTGTTGTATTTTTTTTCAACTAGTTTGGATATTTGTGGCATGCTTTATGATTGAAGATGAAAAATTCATCTAGGACCTGTCTGCTGCACTTGTTTTGGGTTGTGGAATTAATTAAGGTTTGGTGACATGGGACTGGATGTGTGGTAGAGAAAAGATGACAATCTAGGTGTTTCACAGAGTGAATGGGACCTCGAGAGAGAGTAAAGAGACATGATAAAGAGGAAGAAAAGACCAGTATGGGAAAGATTACCCAATAGTGCAGTCATTTCTTAGGCCTTTGAAGTTCCTTGACAAATTGATACAAGATGGAAACCTAGTAAAGTTGATAGGAGGGGCAAGGACAACAATGCAAATGTTATAAAATGGCAAGATTATAAAGCTGAACTTGCTTAGCTAGGTGGCATTCACATGTTGTTACCTAAGAATCTCTACCATTTAAGGGGAATGTGGGCTGATCATCATTAAGATGCTTGTTGCCACTTAATAAAGGCCCTATCCATCATACTAAGACATGAAGATGCTGGCTGTCTTCTAATCTTGTCTATAGTAACGCTGCCTAAGCCATTATCTACTTGCTGTCATTCAATCATGACTATAGCAGGTTGCCTAAAGCTTAACTGCCTTTACGTGTGAGATTTTTGTGTCTGGTAGAGTTGTGGAGAGAAATTAATTGAGTGTTGAATGTTTGATGCATTCCTAGGGAGTGATTCCTAATCGTTAGGGCGTTTTCTGAAGTTATTATCTTCTTGATTTCAGTTTTCATAGTTCACCTAACTTCCCTTTGTTTTCCCATTCCTAATTTTCTGATTGCTTATATTCACATATCCAAAAAGTTTTCAAGCCTTATTCTTCCTTCTGTTATTGTTTAAACCTATACTTTGTCCCAAATCAGCCTCAATCTAGTCCAAGTGTGTTGTTTATAAGGATCCTACATCAACTTGGTATTAGAGTAGGACACCATAATGTCTACACGCTTGGCTAGAGTTTTCAGGGGGAGATTAATAGATGTTCAGCAGGATGAGCTACTGTTGAAACTTGTAGAGCAGATGAACAGTTTAAATGTACAAATGGGGACCCTAGAAGGGAACCCAACCATGTGGGTCATTCAACTATTAACCTTGAAGGAAAATCAACTAGAGGGGAACTTACAAGCAAGTAAGCTGCAGAGCCAAAAAATCAGCCCCCAAATTAGCATCCTAATTTTCTTATTCAGCTAGAAAATAGGCCTCCTCAAGTGCATAAGGGATCTTTGTTGGAGTGGACTAGAAAATTGAATGGAAGAGACTACAATGGGCCTCTAGATTATGTCAGTGATATCACGAAGAAAGTGAGCGGAGGTACCAGACTTTGATGGCAGATTTGATCTTGTCAAAATTTGCTGATTGGTTGTGTATTATTATGGAGGAGTATTTTGATTGGTATGATATGACAGATGAGAGACAAGTTCGATTTGCAAGAATGAAGCTTGTGGACTTGCAAAAGTTTGGTGGAATGGTGTTGAAGGTGACATAAGGAGAGTTGGACATATATCGGAACTTCGCAAGAGATGAAAGCCAAGTTACAAGAAAAATACAGGCCAACCAATTATTATGATTATTATGATCGAATATTTGAAAAACTTGTCAATTTGAAGCAAGGCAGCATCAAAGTTGCTGAATATATGCAACGGTTTTACAAGCTCAAGACACATAGCCAAAATAGTGGAAGATTTTGGTCACACCTTAGCTAGATGCAAATCTGGCTTAAGGACTGATACCAGGAGAAAGCTTCTGAGACAACCTTTATATAGCTTGGAACAAACTTTCCTAATAATATCTATGAGTTCCCACTTAGAAGAAAGTTGCTTATCAAGTCAGGAAGGCTGCCACTAAGAGGAACAAAGGTAATAAAACCTTCAAGACATCATATTCTCCTTTAAATCACCATCTTAATGACCACAAAAGGAGGGTACCAATGGTGAAAAAAAAAAAGAAAAGAAACCTAATGGCAAAGACTATTGCTTTAGGTGTGAAGTTTAAGGGCACATGGCTTTCCAATGCTTGACTAAATCTAATTCGCTTATTGGGAGTTGTGGAAAAATTGAGAGTATATAGAAAAACTTGTCTATCGAATTATACAAACACCATAGGTTTAAATACAGCTAACTAGAGGGTAAACTAGGAAACTAAATATTCCTAATTTTGATCCCTAAAATTAAAGAATTGTCTATCTTGATATTATGTCCTTAATTCTAGATATACAAATTCTCAATTTTAGGGATACAAATATAAATAGATTACAATCTGCAGATTACAATTAGCTACATAGATTACAACCAGTTGTAACTAAATGTTTTCCCACACTCCCCCTCGAGCTGGTGTATAGGGGTTTTCCATTCCTAGTTTGGAAATAATTTCTTGAAATGTTGCACTGTTGAGACTTTTAGTCAACACATCTGCAAGTTGACCCTTGGTTGATACATATGCTGTGTAAATCAACCCACTGTCTAGTTTTTCCTTTATGAAGTGACGGCCTACTTTAATGTATTTTGTTTTGTCATGTTGCACAGGATTGTGTGTAATGCTTATTACAGACTTGTTATCACAGCAAAGTCTCATTGGTCGATCCCATTTGATCTTCAAGTCTTCTAGGATAATCTTTAATCATAGTAGTTCACAAATTCCTTGAGCCATTGCTTTAAACTTTGCTTCAGCACTTGATCTTGCCACCACATTCTATTTTTTACTCCTCCAAGTTACAAGATTACCACCTAGAAAAGTGCAATACCCTGAGGTCGATCATCTATCAGTTACCGAACTTGCATAATCAGCATCTGTATATGCCTCTGGTGCCAATCCTGAATTTTTTTTGAACAAGATACCTCTCCCAGGATTAGCCTTCAAATAGTGTAGTATACAGTAGACAGCTTGTCGGTGCACTTCTTTAGGACTATGCATAAATTGACTTATCACATAGCATATGCTACGTTAGATCTAGTATGTGAGAGATAAATAAGTCTTCCAACTAATCTCTGGTACATCTCTCTATCTACAGTGGGTTCTTCATTAGCTTCTCCAAGTTTATGACTAGGATCTATAGGGGTACTTGCAGGTTTACATGCGAGCTTCCCAGTTTCCTTCAAAAGATCATCTCATATTTCTGTTGTGAGATGAAAATATCATGCCGTAAGTGAGCTACTTCAATTCCTAGGAAGTACTTCAATTTTCTAGAAAGTACTTCAATCTCCCTAGCTCTTTTATCTTGAATTCTCTGGCCAAACATTGTTTTAGAGATTCTCTATTTCATCATCTCCGGTTACAATTATATCATCAACATATACTAACAGAACTGTGATTTTTTCTGAATCTGAGTGTTTGACAAAGAGTGGGTGATCCCCATGACTTTGTTTATATCCCATTGCTAGCATCATCTTGGCAAATCTCTCAAACTAGGCCCTAGGAGATTGTTTAAGGCCATATAAAGCCTTTTTTAGCTTTCATACTTTGTTTGTTTCTAGATGGCCTCCAAATCTAGGTGGAACTTTTATATATACTTCTTCTTCCAAATCACCATGTAAAAAGGCATTCTTTACATCAAATTGTTGAAGCTGCCAATTGTAATTTGCAGCCAAGGTTAACAAAATCCTAACTGTATTCATCTTGGCAATTGGAGCAAAAGTTTCCTGATAATCCACTCCATAAGTTTGAGTGTAGCCCTTAGCCACCAGTTTGGCCTTATACCTTTCAACAGTATCATCTGCCTTGTATTTTACAGTGAAAACTCATTTACACCCAACTGGATTTTTTCCTGTAGGCAACTCTACCAGTTCCCATGTCTTATTTTTCACTAAGGCCTCAATTTCTCGTTGGATAATGCCTTTGATAATGTAGTTGGAATAGAAATAGTGTTTCGGCTCACAAGAAAATTTTTGTGGGATGGTGAGAATTTTTCAAATGACATAGTTAGAGATTGGGTATAGTGGATGTTTTAGAGATTCTCTGGTTCCTTTCCTAACGGCAATAGGCAGATCATAATCACTAATTTTAAGAGATTCATGCTCATTTTGAGAAAGAGAGTTAGAGATTGTAATTACTTCATTTTCAGAGTTAGGATCAGGTTCTTGGATTTGCACCAGTTCAGGAGTTGAAACTTTCCTTCTTGAGTACACTTGTAATTCCTTCATAGAATCAAGAATAGTATTATCCTTAGTCACGGCTTTTATGTTTGGAATGGGTTCAGACTTAGAATCAATGTTTGACTTGGACTTTGAAGAAATGGGTTTAGATTCTGAAGAATTAATGGGTGAAATTGTTTTGGAGGAGGAGGACAAGTCAAGCGACAAGTCAAGCGAAAAGAGGTCTTTATCCTTATCTTCCATAAATGATGTCTCCTCCTGAAAATAAGGTTGAGTAAAAAATGATTTACTTTCTTCAAAAGTGATTTCTGTATGCACAGAATTTTTTGGTATGAGAATGATAACACTTATACCCTTTTTGAGTTGATGAATACCCCACAAAGATACACTTAATTGCTCTTGGATCCAACTTTCCACTATTATGACTGTGAACATGAAAAAATGATGTACAACCAAATATCTTAGGTGTGAGGTTGTTTGTGGTATTAAAGTTGGGATAGAATTGTGAGAGTAGTTCCATAGGAGTTTTAAATCCCAAAATCCTTGAAGGTAACTTGTTTATAATGTGTGTGGCAGTGAGAACAACTTCCTCCTTGTAGGATTTGGGTACATTTGTTTGAAAAAGGAAGGCTCGAGTTGTGGCTAATAAATGGCTGTTTTCCTCTCTGCGACTCCATTCTGTTGTGGAGTATTAACACAAGATGACTCATGGATAATCCTTTCTTTTTGAAAATAGGTAGATAGACTCTGCTTGAAATAGTCTTTTGCATTATCAGACCTAAATCTCTTGATTACCACTCTAAATTGATTTTGGATCATATTTTGGAAGCTTAAAAACACACTATTCACATAT